TTGCAATCTAACTTTTTATCTGCAGGTTTACAGGACTTGAATTCTGATTTTTAAATATCTCATGCATCTTGTGCTAATGTTTGCTGAAGAAAACAGATTAATGCATAAATACTATTACATTAAAAAAAATCCTTGCCTTTTTCCTAAAATGGGAGGATGGAGGACTGACATTTACTCTTCTTTCCTCCTATTTTTCTAGCTCAGTGTTGGCTGAGCATATGGAGAACAGACAGAATGCTCCTATTCACCATATTACAAGAAAGTTGCATAAACTACCATAAACAGCAGTGATTACCACATTTTATTGCATCAAACTCTGGTTGTTAAATCTGGTGTGTTTGAAGGAGTACTTCTCTATTATCTGCTCTGATAAAAGCTTTATCATGATCCTTGATGAAAAGCTTTTACAAGATTTGACACCATTTGATAAATAAATGAGATTTGCCCCTTCAGGAATGTTATTATCTTAAAGGTGAGCTGCAATATTAAAATATCCTACAGACAGTAATAATGCAAGAAAGGAGCAGCAGGATTTTCTGGCTGCTACAAAAAAATACCTGCCATCAACTGCTAAATAAAATGAGGCACTACATCAGGGTGTCAAACTCAATTTCATCAGCATTGTGGTTGCCCTGGGGTGGTGGTGGCCAGGGTGAGCATGGCCAACTGGGTGGGTGTGGCTGGAGTGGGTGTGGCCTACTGAGTGGGCATTGCCAGCTCTACATCGTTCGCATCAAGGGTGCCTGTGAGGGCTGGGCAGGAGTGGGACAGATCTGAGGGTCTTTGGCATAAGGGGGTTGGACCAGGGCAAGCGCCAAGGCATGGTCCACTGGAAGAGCCTCACTTTTCCTTTCAGGCCATGCAAGGGGGGGCTGGATGGTACCCCGGAATTTCCGGAGCCCTGGGCATCGGGGCCCATTCCCTCACTGTTTCCAGGATGGCTTCGCGGGCCACATGAAACCACGTCGCGAGCCGCATCCGGCCCTCGGGCCTTGTGTTTGACATGTCTGCACTACATTGTTCAGACATTGTGTCAAGACAGTTAATTTGAACTATGTTAAACAAACTAATCTTTAGGATACTGTAGTTTTGCAGTATTGCATGTGTGTATTCAATGTTGTTGGGTCTTCAGCAGCTCATAACCACAAGGGACAGCTGCATGTAGTACAGATTTATTCATGTCTCCTTTGCAAATACATCTTTGTGTTATAAAGCCTCCTTTACCAAGTGTTGTTAAGGTCTTATTAAGGTCTTAGGAACTCCACATCCCCCCTCCCAGCAGCTTCTAATTTATCTAGTTCATTTTTCTCGAGAATGCCTTTCATAAGCAATTCTCCATTCATTCAGTCTCACTGATTGCCTTTAAATCTTACATCACTTCCTTGTCTATTACATTGAATATATGTGTATATTCATGGGTATAGAGCTAACTCCTTTTATTTAAGATCCCTTTAATTGTTATTATTATTATTATTATTATTATTATTATTAATTCCATTTATATCCCGCCCTTCTCCTTTCGGACTCAGGGCGGCTGACAAATGATAAAAAGCTAACATAAATACATATTACACCTAATTAAAATTTAATTAAAACGAAATATTTGAAAGTGTCCAATTAAAAGTAATTAAAACCCCTATAAAATCCCCTAGGCCAG